TGAAGTCAAGTCCTCCCTATCAGTATACAGATAGTATTCACACTGTGAAGTCAAGTCCTCCCTATCAGTATACAGATAGTATTCACACTGTGAAGTCAAGTCTTCCCTATCAGTATACAGATAGTATTCACACTGTGAAGTCAAGTCCTCCTATCAGTATACAGATAGTATTCACACTGTGAAGTCAAGTCCTCCCTATCAGTATACAGATAGTATTCACACTGTGAAGTCAAGTCTTCCCTATCAGTATACAGATAGTATTCACACTGTGAAGTCAAGTCCTCCCTATCAGTATACAGATAGTATTCACACTGTGAAGTCAAGTCTTCCTATCAGTATACAGATAGTATTCACACTGTGAAGTCAAGTCCTCCCTATCAGTATACAGATAGTATTCACATTGTGAAGTCAAGTCCTCCCTATCAGTATACAGATAGTATTCACACTGTGAAGTCAAGTCTTCCTATCAGTATACAGATAGTATTCACACTGTGAAGTCAAGTCCTCCCTATCAGTATACAGATAGTATTCACAGTTGTGAAGTCAAGTCACACTGTGAAGTCCTATCAGTATACAGATAGTATTCACACTGTGAAGTCAAGTCTTCCCTATCAGTATACAGATAGTATTCACACTGTGAAGTCAAGTCCTCCCTATCAGTATACAGATAGTATTCACACTGTGAAGTCAAGTCTTCCCTATCAGTATACAGATAGTATTCACACTGTGAAGTCAAGTCTTCCCTATCAGTATACAGATAGTATTCACACTGTGAAGTCAAGTCTTCCCTATCAGTATACAGATACTTGTACTGAGTAAAGAAAGAAGATTTACTTTGACCTCAGCCAGATCAGAAATATGGATGAAGCTCCCCTGAACTTTGACCTCAGCCAGATCTCCTGAAATGGACCTCAGAAGCCCCTGAATACTGAATGATGGTTGTCAGCCAGATCAGAAATATGGATGAAGCTCCCCTGAACTTTGACCTCAGCCAGATCAGAAATATGGATGAAGCTCCCCTGAACTTTGACCTCAGCCAGATCAGAAATATGGATGAAGCTCCCTGAACTTTGACATGAGCAGGATGAAAATGGAGAACCAGATCAGAAATATGAAGCCCTGATGCTTTTCAAACAGAAATAAAGTTGAAGTCCTTAACTTTGATCCACATGAATGGATGGTTTTGGGACAAGGGTTGGCATTTTTGACCATTTTTTGTTACTTTGGCACCAAGACATTTCTTTCTGAGAAGATTATGTATGCTTCATGCTTTTCAACATAAGAATTTTTTAACAACACTAATATTTATAATCATATTGAGAACAAATGAAAGGTTCAGGTTCACCCCTCACAAACGTGATAATAACATGACACAAAACACATATATACTAATGAGACAAGGTACAAAGCAAACCTAACTGTAACATACTGGAAAGTTCTGATTATTTTTGTAACTTTGAAAATATTGTCCTCCATAAACATGTGGTAAACATTATTTGAGCCTTCAATTCATAAATCTAAACCTATAATATCATGGTCTGTTTTAATCAGCTGACAGAAAGCAGAACGTTGACTCTCAGTGAGAGCAGCACCTTCCAGCTCACCAGTCCTTGTACCTAATGGCTAATGAGGAGACATTAGAACCAATATTGGATTCACTATATGTGACACAGGAAAGCCTCCATGTAAAGGTTAAAAGCAGCTGCCACTCACACTTCTTGAAAACCTATTTAAGGTTGGTAGACTTCCCATCTCAATCTATATCTAAAATGTCATGTGGATCTCCTGGAATTTCACACCAGTGTTCAGCCTCACAAGGACCATCTTGACATAATCTTTCCCAGCTTACGTGGACTAACCTACACAGTAGATAAGGAGTAAGGTTTGTGTGCATTTAGTAGTCATAAGGCTAAACTCTTGTTGTTCAGGCATCCATAGCAAGTATCCAGAAGTATTGTGACACATCAATGGTTTACACACACACACTAAAGGCGGACACCTCGGAGAACCATGTGTTACATTCACACCATTATCTGAGCAATAGTCCTCTTAAATGTATTGAAAATGAAAATGTCTCAACCACATGTATACAAATAAGATTGAATTGCAAATGCATTAGGACCATACAATGGAATGGTTGTACCATCGACTAAATCAGAATGTTTAGACAGATGTCTGAAAGGTATTTGTTCCTGTGTTGCCGTTACTGAGCATTACTGATGCAGCAGTACAGGTGGGTCAGGCTGGAAATCATGACACCACACTGATGACAGTCACTTCATCAGAAGCAAATAAACTGGGCTACAGGTGGACAACCATCAGCAGCCAGGAGACTGTGGGCAGTGGACTACAGGTGGACAACAATCAGTAACCAGGAGACTGTGGGACAGGTGGACAACAATCAGTAACCAGGAGACTGTGGGACAGGTGGACAACAATCAGTAACCAGGAGACTGTGGACAGATGGACAACAGGCGGACAACAATCAGTAACCAGGAGACTGTGGGACAGGTGGACAACAATCAGTAACCAGGAGACTGTGGGACAGGTGGACAACAATCAGTAACCAGGAGACTGTGGGACAGGTGGACAACAATCAGTAACCAGGAGACTGTGGGACAGGTGGACAACAATCAGTAACCAGGAGACTGTGGGACAGGTGGACAACAATCAGTAACCAGGAGACTGTGGGACAGGTGGACAACAATCAGTAACCAGGAGACTGTGGACAGTGGAGTACAGGTGGACAACAATCAGTAACCAGGAGACTGTGGGACAGGTGGACAACAATCAGTAACAAGGAGACTGTGGGATCAGTAACCAGTAACCAGGAGACTGTGGGACAGGTGGACAACAATCAGTAACCAACCAGGAGACTGTGGGACAGGTGGACACAACAATCAGTAACAATCAGTAACCAGAAGACTGTGGGACAGGTGGACAACAATCAGTAACCAGGAGACTGTGGGACAGGTGGACAACAATCAGTAACCAGGAGACTGTGGACAGTGGAGTACAGATGGACAACAATCAGTAACCAGGAGACTGTGGGACAGGTGGACAACAATCAGTAACCAGGAGACTAACCAGGAGACTGTGGGACAGATGGACAACAATCAGTAACCAGGGACTGTGGGACAGGTGGACAGATGGACAAACAATCAGTAAATGTATAATGAATGTCAGGAGGCTGGGACTGAGCCAACAAACAGGAGACTGTGGGACAGATGTACAGCAATCAGTAACTAGGAGACTGTGGGACAGATGGACAACATCTGTCAGACAGGCTCATGTATAATGAATGTCAGGAAGGCTGGGCTGAGCCACAAGCATGACAGGACTCACTTCTGTCAGACAGGCTCATGTATAATGAATGTCAGGAAGGCTGGGCTGAGCCACAAGCATGACAGGACTCACTTCTGTCAGACAGGCTCATGTATAATGAATGTCAGGAAGGCTGGGTTGAGCTACAAGCATGACAGGACTCACATCACAGCACAATGTCATCTGTCAGACAGGCTCATGTATGATGAGTCGAATCAGCTTCATGCTTTACAAACACAAACTGACATTCCAACTCACACAATTCCCCTAGAGTAAATAAATGTCACCACCAGCATAGTGAGTGGGCACGCTGACTGAAGGAAACTGTATATGCTTGGAGAACTGCTTTTGACTGCTCATCAAGTTCAACATTATCACCAACATCTCTTAAGCACAATCATCAACATTCTTTAAGCACAATCATCAACATTCTTTTATGCACAGTCATCAACATTCTTTAAGCACAATCATCAACATTCTTTATGCACAGTCATCAACATTCTTTAAGCACAGTCATCAACATTCTTTATGCACAGTCATCAACATTCTTTAAGCACAGTCATCAACATTCTTTAAGCACAGTCATCAACATTCTTTATGCACAGTCATCAACATTCTTTATGCACAGTCATCAACATTCTTTATGCACAGTCATCAACATTCTTTAAGCACAATCATCAACATTCTTTATGCAGTCATCAACATTCTTTAAGCACAGTCATCAACATTCTTTAAGCACAGTCATCAACATTCTTTATGCACAGTCATCAACATTCTTTAAGCACAATCATCACATTTTTTGCACAGTCATCAACATTCTTTATGCACAGTCATCAACATTCTTTATGCACAGTCATCAACATTCTTTATGCACAGTCATCAACATTCTTTATGCAGTCATCAACATTCTTTATGCACAATCACCAATAGTCTTCAACAGTCTTCACATACAATCACCTCAAGCACAATCACCAACTCTCGTTAAGCACAATCACCAACATTCTTCAAGCACAATCAACAATATTCTTCATGCATATTCAACAACATTCTTTATGCACAATCACGAGCAATCTTTAAGCACAATCACCAACATTATTCATGTACAATTGCCAACATTATTCATGCAATCACCAACATTCTTCATGCACAATCACCAAAATTCTTCATTACAATTGCACAAGCACCCTCAGTCCTCAAGCACATTCACCAACATTCTTCATGCACAATCACCAAGATTCTTCATGCACAATCACCAACATTCTTCAAGCACAAACACGAACAGTCCTAAAGCACAATCACTAAATTCATCAAGCACATTCACCAACATTCTTCATGCACATTCACCGACATTATTCATGCACATTCAACAACATTCTTCAAGCACCATCACCAACAGTCCTCAAGCACAATCACCAACATTCATCAAGCACAATAATGAATATTCTTCATGCACATTCACCAGCATTCTTCAAGCACAATCACCAACATTCTTCATGCACAATAATGAACATCCTTCAACGGCAATCACAGCTACAGGTGTTGTTTTTTCTGCTCATCACTGTATCACGTTCACGTTTGCTTTGTGTAGAAGAGCCAATATTCACAGAGATTGTATAATGCCGATATTGCATGCAGGCAACTCGCTAATAGGGTCTTCCTTGTGCAGCAGCGAGCAAGGCAAGGAGGGAGACAGCAGTGGCGAGCCTGGTAGTGGGTGAGGGAACAGGGCCTAACGAGGAGGTTTACACTGTACACTGAGCAGAGCACAGTCTAGTATGGTGGACATCACAGACTGTTACATGGCATCGCTGTGAGTACAACTCTGTGTGTGTCAGTAGGCAACTCACCTGTAGACAGCTGGCATACACTTGTCATAAGTTATTTACATGTATCAGCTGAAAGATTATCAAAAGGGCAGTATATTAAGCATTAACTGTCTGTTGTTCTTTCTACTATCAAAGAGAATACTGTTAGGAATAATCCTTGCATGTTAAAGTTTCATATATAGAAGTTAGTAAATGCCATGTGTCCATTGTGGCAATGTATTTTGTTGTGGAACTGTAACTTGCATACATACTAAGGTACACAGCATTTGCTGGACAGTCTCAATGGTTATATTGCTGAGGCACAATGACATATTTCAAGTATCATCAAATGCGTAAAGATTAATGATATTCATTGTTCTTTGATAATTCAAAGACTGGTGCAAATGTAACTTACAGATCTATAATCTTCTTGTACATAAGAAGTCATCAGAGTGCAGTAACCACTGTACTCTTAGCTAGAGGTACGGAGTGGTTGGAATGTTTTCTCCAATATAGGCTGACATATGAATAGGGTGGGTGAGGTGGGAGTATATATTCTCTGACTGACATATGAATAGGGTGGGTGAGGTGGGAGTATATATTCTCTGACTGACATATGAATAGGGTGGGTGAGGTGGGATATATATATTCTCTGACTGACATATGAATAGGGTGGGTGAGGTGGGAGTATATATTCTCTGACTGACATATGAATAGGGTGGGTGAGGTGGGGTATATATTCTCTGACTGACATATGAATAGGGTGGGTGAGGTGGGAGTATATATTCTCTCTGACTGACATATGAATAGGGTGGGTGAGGTGGGAGTATATATTCTCTGACTGACATATGAATAGGGTGGGTGAGGTGGGAGTATATATTCTCTGACTGACATATGAATAGGGTGGGTGAGGTGGGAGTATATATTCTCTGACTGACATATGAATAGGGTGGGTGAGGTGGGACATATATATATTCTCTGACTGACATATGAATAGGGTAGGTGGGAGTATATATTCTCTGACTGACATTTGAATAGGGTGGGTGAGGTGGGAGTATATATTCTCTGACTGACATATGAATAGGGTGGGTGAGGTGGGAGTATATATTCTCTGACTGACATATGAATAGGGTGGGTGAGGTGGGAGTATATATTCTCTGACTGACATATGAATAGGGTGGGTGAGGGTGGGAGTATATATTGTCAGATTGATATTTGTATAGGGTGGGTGAGGTGGGGAGTATATATTCTCAGATTGATATTTGTATAGGGTGGGTGAGGTGGGAGTATATATTCTCAGATTGATATTTGTATAGGGTGAGGTGGGAGTATATATTCTCAGATTGATATTTGTATAGGGTGGGAGAGGTGGGAGTATATATTCTCAGATTGATATTTGTATAGGGTGAGTGAGGTGGGAGTATATATTCTCAGATTGATATTTGTATAGGGTGGGAGAGGTGGGAGTATATATTCTCAGATTGATATTTGTATAGGGTGGGTGAGGTGGGAGTATATATTCTCAGATTGATATTTGTATAGGGTGGGAGAGGTGGGGGAGTATATATTCTCAGATTGATATTTGTATAGGGTGGGTGAGGTGGGAGTATATATTCTCAGATTGATATTTGTATAGGGTGGGAGAGGTGGGAGTATATATTCTCTGACTGACATATGAATAGGGTGGGTGAGGTGGGAGTATATATTCTCTGACTGACATATGAATAGGGTGGGTGAGGTGGGAGTATATATTCTCTCTGACTGACATATGAATAGGGTGGGAGAGGTGGGAGTATATATTCTCAGATTGATATTTGTATAGGGTGGTGAGGAGTATATATATCCTCTGACTGACATATGAATAGGGTGGGAGAGGTGGGAGTATATATTCTCAGATTGATATTTGTATAGGGTGGGTGAGTAGGGAATATATAATCTTAGACTGATATAAGCATTGGGTGGGATCACTGGGCAGTGTATATTGTCAGATTGATATTTGTATAGGGTGGGTGAGGTGGGAGTATATATTCTCAGATTGATATTTGCATAGGGTGGGAGAGGTGGGAGTATATATTCTCAGATTGATATTTGTATAGGGTGGGTGAGGTGGGAGTATATATTCTTAGACTGATATTTGTATTGGGTGGAGAGGTGGGCAGTATATATTGTCAGATTGATATTTGTATAGGGTGGGTGAGGTGGGAGTATATATTCTCAGATTGATATTTGCATAGGGTGGGTGTATTGGGAGTATATAATCAGATTAGACTGATATAAGCATTGGGGAGGTGGGCAGTATATATTGTCAGATTGATATTTGTATAGGGTGGGTGAGGTGGGAGTATATATTCTCAGATTGATATTTGTATAGGGTGGGTGAGGTGGGAGTATATATTCTCAGATTGATATTTGTATAGGGTTGGAGAGGTGGGAGTATATATTCTCAGACTGACATATGAATAGGGTGGGTGAGGTGGGAGTATATATTGTCAGATTGATATTTGTATAGGGTGGGTGAGGTGGGAGTATTTATTCTCAGATTGATATTTGTATAGGGTCGGAGAGGTGGGAGTATATATTCTTAGACTGATATAAGTATGGGGTGGGATCACTGGGGAGTATATATTCTTAGACTGATATACGCATTGGGTGGGTGTATTAGGGAGTATATATTCTTAGACTGATATAAGCATTGGGTGGGATCATTGGGTAGTATATAATCTTAGACTGATATAAGCATTGGGTGGAATCATTGGGTAGTGTATATTGTCAGATTGATATTTATATAGGGTGGGTGAGATGGGGAGTATATATTCAAGGATTGATATTTGTATAGGGTGGGAGAGGTGGGAGTATATATTCTCAGATTATTATTCGTATAGGGTGGGAGAGGTAGGAGTATATATTCTCAGATTGATATTTGTATAGGGTGGGAGAGGTGGGAGTATATACTCTTAGACTGATATAAGTATGGGGTGGGATCATTGAGGAGTATATATTCTTAGACTGATATAAGTATGGGGTGGGTGTGTTAGGGAGTATACATTCTTAGACTGATATAAGCACTGGGCGGGATCATTGGGGAGTATATATTCTCTGACTGATATAAGTATAGGGTGGTAGAGTTGGGGAGTATATATTCTTAGACTGATATTTGTATAGGGTCGGAGAGGTGGGAGTATATATTCTCAGATTGATATAAGCATTGGGTGGGATCACCGGGCAGTGAATATTGTCAGATTGATATTTGTATAGGGTGGGTGAGATGGGGAGTATATATTCTCAGATTGATATTTGTATAGGGTGGGAGAGGTGGGAGTATATATTCTTAGACTGATATAAGCATTGGGTGGGATCATTGGGTAGTATATATTCTCAGATTGATATTTGTATAGGGTGGGAGAGGTGGGAGTATATATTCTCAGATTGATATTTGTATAGGTTGGGAGAGGTGGGAGTATATATTCTCAAATTGATATTTGTATAGGGTGGGAGGGGTGGGAGTATATATTCTTAGACTGATATAAGTATGGGGTGGGATCATTGAGGATCATATATTCTCTGACTGATATAAGTATGGGGTGGGTGTGTTAGGGAGTATATATTCTTAGACTGATATAAGCATTTGGTGGGATCATTGGGGAGTATATATTCTCTGACTGATATAAGTATAGGGTGGTAGAGGTGGGGAGTATATATTCTTAGACTGATATAAGTATAGGGTGGGTGTGTTAGGGAGTATATATTCTTAGACTGATATAAGCATTGGGTGGGATCATTGGGGTGTATATATTCTCTGACGGATATAAGTATAGGGTGGTAGAGGTGGGGAGTATATATTCTTAGACTGATGTAAATATTGAGTGGTAGAGGTGGGAGTGTATATTCTCTGACTGATATTTGTATAGGGTGGGAACATTGTGGAGTGTATATTCTCCGACTGATATTTGTATAGGGTAGGAACATTGTGGAGTGTATAATCTTAGACTGATGTAAGTAGGGGTGGGAACATTGTGGAGTGTATAATCTCCGACTGATGTAAGTATGGGGTGGGAACATTGTAGAGAGTATAATCTCCGACTGATGTAAGTATGGGGTGGGAACATTGTAGAGAGTATAATCGTAGACTGATGTAAGTATGGGGTGGGAACATTGTAGAAAGTATAATCGTAGACTGATGTAAGTATGGGGTGGGAACATTGTAGAGAGTATAATCGTAGACTGATGTAAGTATGGGGTGGGAACATTGTAGAGAGTATAATCGTAGACTGATGTAAGTATGGGGTGGGAACATTGTAGAGAGTATAATCGTAGACTGATGTAAGTATGGGGTGGGAACATTGTAGAGAGTATAATCTCCGACTGATGTAAGTATGGGGTGGGAACATTGTAGAGAGTATAATCGTAGACTGATGTAAGTATGGGGTGGGAACATGTGTAGAGTATAATCGTAGACTGATGTAAGTATGGGGTGGGAACATTGTAGAGAGTATAATCGTAGACTGATGTAAGTATGGGGTGGGAACATTGTAGAGAGTATAATCGTAGACTGATGTAAGTATGGGGTGGGAACATTGTAGAGAGTATAATCATAGACTGATATATAAATGACAAATAATGACAAATAGAGTTACTGACTGTGGTCTCACAAACCCTCAGTACAAATAACCATCAACAGTATTTCATAAAGTATATTGACAACATGTACCATACTAGAATTGATAAAAGGACAAAATATGCCTGTGTACGGACATATTTATACTGGGTACATCTGTCTCCTGACTGGTGGTGTTCTAAGAACCTGAAGTAGTCCATTCATGTAAACTTGGTCTTACACTAGTGCTGAAAATATCCCATCTGGATTATTTGTCCTGATGATCCAAATCTTGTTGGATTAAAGTATGTGTCAGTTAAGGGCAGTGCAATTTGTGGTAGATATTGATTGTAAGTGAACCAGAGGTGCCGTAATGACAAACGTTGATTGCAGGCCTACAGCTTCCTTGGC